GCAGCTCTTGTGTCCTCTGTTTTCTCTCCTCTGGTCTGAAGCGGATGCGGCGGCGAGGCTTTCCAGAATGACCGAGGCCATCTGAGAACCGGGAAAAAGTTTTTTTTTAATTCATCAACCGCACGGGTGGGAGATGGGGGGGGAGGGGGGGCGTGTTGGATGTTGACCCACTTTCCAACAAACGGCTCAGTCGTTATTTTCTATTCTGGACCCATTACCTGATCCGTGGCCCAGCGAGCACATGTCACATTCTGGGTCACGGCCCACTGTTCTCCATCGCTCACGTCCGTCTAGCGCACCGCTTCGGGCCCACTTCTTCCTTGTTTCGTACGGTATTTCACCCTACCCCCAAATTAGCGCTGCGCGCGTCCAACAGGCCAGCTGGATTTTCGGCCAGCTGGATTTGTTCGCATCCCGAAACAGAATTGAATGAGCGAGATATCGGGTGCAGCTGAGCCTGAGCTCCAAAACGCCGCGTCCAGTTACATGATTTATCTTTAAACTGCAGCTCCTAGTGACGCAAGAATGCAGGGACTTTCTGGAATTTATTTAATCATTACCGCACAGGTATTTTCGCAGAGCAAAGTTTCACTTGTAGCATATTTTCTCCTGAAGGCCTCGAAGATCCACAGTTTCTAGTAGCATAGACAACTGAAATCCACAGGGCATATTAGATGTTACGTTATACACCAACACGCCATCCTGTACCGTAGCCTTCCACTGAAACCAAAAGAGAGAACAGAAGGACGGGAACCGCCGGGAATAAGATCATGAGCTTTATTCTTGCACTATTAAAGCTCTATTGCTACGACACCGATGCACGCAACATCTAAAATTATGAGAAAAAAATCTTATTCTCTTTTTCTTGCCCTCTATCACTCTATGACTCCAATGTCAAATCTGATGGGAAGAACTTACTCTCCACTCCGCCGCACGAAGAGACAAGCAACTGAAATGCTTCATCTTTAGTTCTGCACCACAGCTATGCATGCTTCAAAGTATCAGATCCCATGCCCTCCATTATTCTGCTAATGGATCATTAATGATGCAGACAAAAATTATATGGGGAAGATGGATCAGGTCATGAGACACCGTACGCGCAAGGATGCCACAGACTGCACAATATCCCGCAGGCAGGCAAACACATATATCTCATGAGAGTGTGTGGCTCGAAATCAGCAAAGGAAGTCTCAACAGATGTATAATCTGCCTGACTCCATCTATCACTGGGGTCCACATGTCGGTTGCTTCTCATGCGTATCAAGGAGTTCAAAATAAGTTCATGGCAGACAAAATCCTTTGCAACCAGACAAGCAGAGATTTTAGCTCGGAAATTCTGTAATTGCTTTTCTTCAAGCTGTGTTCCCATCTCTTCTCCCTACTGGTACAACCAGCACCAGTAGGGCTGTCTCATGATTCTCCAAGTAGATACGGTACTGCCATAGGACAGTACTTGGCCAGATTTGACTTCAGATTCTAGGAGCATCAGTTCTCATGGTGTTTGGTCCAATGGTGTCCAATCAAGCTCAAACCTCTGCTCAAGTAGAAGCCAACGACTATGAATAAAATCGTTCATGATCCTCTGCAGGAGCTTGTCAAATCATTCATATCCTATCAGATGTGCAGTCCGTGTGACCCTGACCATGGTGGCAGAGTTCCAACTAGAAAACTCTAGCTATATATACCAGGGTTGGGGAGAAGAGAGGTACCAACCAAGAGGGAACTGCCATCGGTTGCTTGACCCCAAGGAGGAAAGAACAAACAGTAGCAGATTTTAGTGCCTCCCCAGCCTTTGTTGATGGGCCGCAGTGCAATTGCAAAATCGACTGGTCTTCTCCGGTAAGTAGCCTCTAGCATCCCTCTAAACCTGCAATACTGAAGCTTTCAATTTGGTAGATTCCAGAACGATGACATTCAAGCATTACTGTAGTCCAAAGATTGTTCATATCCTAGTGAAGAGAAACTTGAATTGCTAAATGCAACATCATTATGCTGATATGCTCCATAAAGTAACTGCTTGGATTGCCATATGCAGGGAAGTTAAGAACAGGCAAAGCTCTAACCTTACGAGCCAGGTGCAGCCAACAAAAGCAAGGTCAGCAGAGACAGCACTGTGGGTGCCACACCCAAAGACAGGGATCTACTACCCCAGGGGCTTTGAGTGGGTCATGGAGGATGTCCCAAGCAGCGCAGCAACGTTCCAGCAGACATACTGGCTCAGGAGCGGCGACGCAGACACAGCAAGCTCTCCCACGTCAACCGACGGCACAGCTGCCTTTGATAATCCATTTCTGTGAATGCATAAGAGGCCTCACACTGGAAGAATCACTGATAGCAGCAGTTCTACAAGCCACCACCATTGTTGCCAGGTCGATACATAATATGATAAACCAGCTGCTCAGATTTCCAGCATGTAGGCACCGCATCCACCGAAAGATCAGTGTTAAACTCTGCATTAATCTTCGCTATTGCATTCTCATTTTCACTGATTTTACTTAAATAAAAGCCGCACCTGATTGTAATATTGGGAACATTCTGAGCTAACAGTTTTAACTGTCAACCTTGGTGCAAAAATTATCCTACTAATTATAATCTTCAGATAAAATAATACAGCCTTCAGTTTTGTTTCGCCTTGTAGGGAAGAAATTATGCAGGGGAGTCAAGAGTTCACAACAGAGCTCAATGTTTGTATGCATTTTCTATTTCAGCTAGATTGTAATTAACCATATCCAGACATAATGCACTACACACACTAAGTGAACTGCAGGTACTTAACAAGAGTAACAATAAAAACTTGCAGGGTGCACCCAACCAAGAGAATGTTAATGGACAATTTTAGCCAAATATAAAGACCATTATCCGAAACGGAAAAAGTACCATGGATTATCCTCGTTATGTTACTATGAAAACGTCCAAGTTCATCAAAACATCAAAATGCTTTGAAACAACTTTCCAGGTAGACAATTGACTACAATCAAGCGGACAATGGTAACATTGCCTGTGCCAATTGTATGATCGCAGCTATACTAGCCATAAGGACGAGACTTTTCAACAAGCTTTGGTGCTTCATCTCCTTCAGACTTTTTCTGAAACTCAATGCCCTGAAACTGGACCCTTGAAGATCGATATTGACAACCATAAGCATTTCCAAAGCCCCATCCTAAACCAAGACCAACTCCGCATCCCCCACCTATTCACAAAGAGGAAATTCAATTCAGTACCAATTTACTCTAGATGATGTATATAGTAACTGACAAGCTTCGTACCGATGCCCAAGCCGAATACGTTCAGAGGCATTCCTGTGGTAGAAAAGCAAATTAAAGCATGTTATTTTCTTACAATGAATGTACATAGTCAATAAGGAATAGTTACTGACGTACAATAGGACCATAACTCTTCAAAGAAAGTCTGTTCCGGTAAATTTATCCCCAGACATAAGCCAGTTACAAAACCCTCTATTAGCTGGGTGCGTGGGACTAGTCTATCTACCTGTATTGGCTATGGATCATATTCTTAATTCATATTAAAGTGTAATACTACTATAGAACTGAAGCTTGGATTTTTAGCACGAAATCAGAAGAAGAAAAAAACTAGTTAAATACAACTTTGTAATTGTTGATTTAATTTGTTAGACCAGTGTACAGATTGAATTAAATCTGTGGGCACAAACCTTTTGCATATAACCTTTTGGCTCCCTGGTTAATAGAATATTTTTGTTCCTTCTCATCTTATATTAGGTAGAACTAGGAATGCTGTTGAGTAACCATCCCTGTGATGTTTGGTTTAATAACTATCAACATTTGAAAGATTAGCTAGCAATGGGTGAAAGGCCTGGCTAGGGAGTGATGGGGTTTAAAATAGATGTACCAACAATAAAATCCATCTCAAGAACAATTAAAAAAAATCGTCTACTCTACGCCTCTAGTTCAGGAGGCCGATGGATCTAACTTCGCTTATGTCTCACATTTCTATAATACTGAATGTTATGTCATAAGCATTTCCATAAGATGCTTCGGAAGCAGGCTTCATATAATATTGGACCAACTTAGATGTTGAGGAACAAGTTCTACAGTACAAAAACATGCTTACATGGAAACCGGCTTCATATAATTTTGAATGTTGAGGCATAAGCATTTCTGTGCGTATGACATATTATCATACAATTTTGGTACGATGGTTGAAATCCAACATCCATTTTATCACGTCTGTGAGCAGTGGAGATCCATCGTCGTAACAAGCTGGACCAGTTTCATCATACGCAAAGCTGTTCTGTTATTTCTTTGTGACTCCATATAACAATTAACTCCATATGGAGGCTTTTGGTAACCAATTCGCATGCATCTTACTGGTTATGAAGCGGGTAAACAGATTCCCATTTGTAGGGAGTGGGACTGCTAAACAGATATATAGGAGTACTAAACAGCGGAATCTATAAGCAAAAATCAGGACTAATTCTCCCGAATATGCTTGAACAAGAAGCGATTCCAAGTTCTCGCCCCTCCCTTAAAACTTGAGCGGTGTAAAAACCTCACAGACAATTTGCGGCGAAAGAAATGAATCATTCCGCACCTCCGAACCCCCATCCGACTCCGAATCCGCAGCCGACGCCGAAGCCTGCGCCGATTTCAACAGACAGAGACAAGATCAAGAAACCTAAAACGAAGCGAGAACCAAATCGCCGCAAGAATGCAAGATCCAATAATTTGAAGAATCAAGGTCAGCCGCTTACCGACCCCAATCCCAGGGCCGCTGAAGGTGGAGACGACCATGGATGGATGCCTTCCCGCTACGCTGGTGGTGCTCAGGGGTTGGATGGGACGATGAGCGAGCCGATGGGAAAGCGGCACTTCGGTGGTCTTGACGACATGGTGACGTCAGCAATCAGTGGGCCGCGACTGGCCGGGCCAAGTTTTGGGCGGGCCCAAGGATCAGTCCGGTCGCTCTTTTTTTTAAGAAAGCATACCTTCATTACTTAACTGTGGTGAGGCAAATCGCCCACAACACATTCGCCCACATGGGCAGGTACATCGAACTCCCATTCCATAAAGTGGTTTGGTGCACAGTGGCGGCCAGACTTGGCGAGTTCATGAGCTACAGAATTACCACTACGCCTACATACTGAAATAGTAAATTTGAAGAACCATAGTTTCAGTTGGTATTTCATGTCCTCGATAACAGTCGCATAAGCCGAGGAGTCGACCTTCCTCATATCCAACGCATCCACCAGAAGCTGTGAATCGGTCTCAAACTCCATCCGGACCATTCCCAGGTCTACTGCAGTGTTTATGGCATGTGACATGGCTACCACTTCAGCAGCGAAAGCATCGGAGATATGCTCCTGTCTTCCAGCGGGCATGCACCAGGCTGCCATCTGTTGTCCTGACCGCGACTCCCCATCCTGCATGCTGCTGCCCAGGTATAAAGAAGCCATCGGTATTAATTTTGTAGTACTCCTCAGCCGGGGGGCGCCACTTGTCTGGATTAGGTTTGTCAGCCGACTTGCAGAAAATCTGGTGATACTCCATTCCACTGCTTCATGTCATTCATGCCACTTCCGCGGGTGACAGAGGGATTTCTCCTTGTAGGATCGAAAGTAGGTCTAAGGGGGTGATTAGATTACTTGACCAAATAAAAATCTAGCCTTTTCCTAATTTTTAAGTCTTGACAGATTTTAGCAACTTAGCACAAGTCAAACAATCAACCTACACATGCAATTCTAAGAGTGTAGCAGCGGAAAGTAAAACATTGCATATGAACGTAAAGGGAAGGGTTTGGAGAAGGCAAACACAATGTAGATACGGAGATTTTTGGCGTGGTTCCGATAGGTGGTGCTATCGTACGTCCACGTTGATGGAGACTTCAACCCACGAATGGTAACGGTTGCGCGAGTCCACGGAGGGCTCCACCCATGAAGGGTCCATGAAGAAGCAACCTTGTCTATCCCACCATGGCCATCACTCACGAAGGACTTGCCTCACTCGGGTAGATCTTCACGAAGTAGGTGATCTCCTTGCCCTTACAAATTCCTTGGATCAACTCCACAATCTTGTCGGAGGCTCCTAAGTGACACCTAACCGATCTAGGAGACACCACTCTCCAAAAGGTACTAGATGGTGTGTTGATGATGAACCCCTTGCTCTTGTGTTTCAAATGATAGTCTCCCCAACATTCAACTCTCTCTCAAAGATTTGTCTATGACGGAAAGACGATTTGAGTGGAAAGCAACTTGGGGAAGGCTATAGATCAAGATTCGTGTGGTTGGATTGGAATGTCTTGGAAAAACACATGAGTAGGTGGTTCTCTCTTAGAAAATGAGTAGTGAAAGTGTAGGCACGTTCTGATGGCTCCGTCTTGAATAGAGAAGGGGGTGGAGGGGTACATATAGCCTCCACACACATTTGACCCAACTCGGTCAGACCGAATAGGAGAACTCGGTGAGACCGATTCAGTTCAAATGTGAACGTTAGGAATCTCGATGGGACCGAGATGATCAACTCGGTGGGACCGATGTGCTAGGGTTAGGACAAAACCTCATCTCGATGTGACCGATTTGCATGAACTCAGTGAGACCGATTTCAGCAATGAGCAAACAGAGAGTTGGTCAGGCAAACTCGGTGGGACCAATCGCTCATTTTGGTAAGACCGAAATGTTATGAAGGGACACAGAGAGTTTGCATTGCAAACTCGGTGGGACCGATCACTCATTCTGGTGAGACCGAAATGTTACGAAGGGAAACAGAGAGTTTGTATTGCCATCTCGGTGAGACCAAGATACCTATCGGTGAGATCGAATTGATTAGGGTTTCTGGCAGTGGCTATGTCAAAGAAACTCGGTGGCGCCAGATAGATCAAATCGGCGGGGCCGAGTTTGACTTTAGGTTTTGGACATATTTGGATTTGAGAAAGTGTTTGAGGGTTTTGGAGCATATCACTAAGCATATTGAGCAAGCAGACCATTAAGCAACACCTCATCCCCTTTTAATAGTATTGGCTTTTCCTATGGACTCAATGTGATCTTGGATTATTAAAATAGAAATGAAGAGTCTTGAGCTTTTGCCAATCTTTGTCCTTAGCATTTTGAAGGGTCCACATCTCTAGTCCATGCCATGCCAATCATTGAACTTTCTAAAATATTTAACTTGAATGGATATTAGTTCAATGAGCTATATGTTGTTATGAATTACCAAAACCACCCGGGGATTAGTTGCACTTTCAATCTCTCCCTTTTTGCTAATTGATGACAACATATAGAACAAAGCTTCGACAAATGATAATATGAGTGAAATAAATTGTCGCT